CCTACTTTTCTTCTAGTTTGTGTTTTGGCTACTTTATGTCATAGATCAATAGCTTTTGGATCCCTTTTGCTAGTGGGAGGGGACCAAGTTTGATGAGTACATAATTTAGGAGTGATTTGGGTTTTTGTGGAAATAAATTGGGGTGATAATAGTTTTTAACAATGTGATTCAATAGTCACATGTCATACATAGCTTGTTATTGTTCAAATGGTAGTGACAAGGTCATATTTTGATTGTATCATGTTGTGTTTAGTTTCTATCATATTATGTATAGACATTGTTATGGTCATTGTCAATTTTGGATGTTTTATAGCATAACATGAGCAAAACACAAAAATAATACTTTCATGTTTAATGAAACTTATCATATAATTTTCGTGTCAAAGTGATGTCTGTATTAGTATTTGTCAGTATTTGTCACTTCTTGAAGTTATAATATTCAAATATCTATTGAAATTCTGTTGGAATATATTAACGTTGGAATTTGATGAATCTTTAATAGTGGTTATTCAAACTTTTTTTTTACTCATGAGGAGTTATCTAATATGTTCTAATCACATGTACATAGTGTATAGTATGCTAATTTTTTATTACATAAGTATACGTATGAGCTCATTTATAAGTCGGTGGATAGGAGATTGAACTGTAATTTAAAAAAACTTATGTTTATATAATAAAAAGTTAAGGAACAAATAAATATATAATTTCTGAATCCACACAAAAGTAGTTGTTGCAAATATATAAAATAAGAAAATGCTACAGTCCCGTTACATAATCATTCCATTGTGATTTGTAACTGTTAGATGCACATGTACATCTAATCAATATGTGCATCTAACGGTTACAAATTCAAATAAAATGGTTCCGTAACGGAACTGTAGCCTTATCTTATGAAATTAATGAATATCAAACTCCCTACATTTATTGCATTCAGAATTATTGAAATTGGAGTGTAAATGAAAATTCAAGGATACTCTATACCCCTACATAAAATATCTTCTGTAGCGTCTCATAGTACAATTAATGGCAGTATTTCTTTTCTTTTTGTTTTTCTTTTTCCTTCATTTAAAATGAATTCTACAATAATTGTTTTCAGTTATCAAAATTAATTTTTATGTACGATATGTTCCTGTAGCATTTATGTTACTATGTTAATATTTTTGATCCATGCAAATGGACTGATTTACTGTGCTTGATTATAATTGATATTTACTATGAGCTTGATGGGCTGTTCTGAAACCATGTTGGACCATTAGAATATTAATTGGGCTACTCTGTATAAGATAAAAGAGCCATTGATTATTGGTTGACTAACTGGCCCAGTATTCAATTTTCAATTTACCTTTTAAATAGCAAAATATTTTTTTAGTTAAATAATACTCAGTCTGAAAGTATGTGTTAGTTAAAAAATTTCATCTTTTAGTTGCAATGTTTTCATCATTATTAATGTTTGTAAAAAATTAATTTTGATAAAAAAAAAAAACATGTAACTCATGATTGTAACATATGCTGTATCTGTAATGCTCGATTGTTATGTTTATACTTGAATTAATTAACTATTTACAAATATTTATATATATATATATATTTATCTGATGTTATGATCAAATTTATTGATTTTTTATTTATATATTACATTTTATAAATACAACTTATACTACTATAAATATTAGCAGGTAAAAACAGTTCTCATATTATTATTTTGCATACCAAATGCAATAAGAGATTATGATAGAATAGTAGCTTAGTTAAAACGCAGTTGACAAAACCAAATGACTATTATTTTCCTCTTATTTATAAAGTAGTAAAAGTGTAACTTATTTGAACTAATTTCGTGTAATTCGTATGCTTGTCTGTTTACATATTTTTAGTCAAAGTGAAACAGGTGAAACTAGAAAAGGCATTGTTATTTTCAGACAACTTCAAAACATCACATTCTGTGATGTAATGCAGAATTAGCAGTTTGAATTAGGTAAACTGCTTTTAAAACAATGGAAGGCCCATCACATTGTAACAAACAAACATCGGTACACATTGGTAGTTAGGATGTGAAAGGAACCTTTTCTTTGATTGATATTTTTTTATAATAATTATTTTTATTCTTATTATGTCATATTTTAAGAAAACAATATATAAATAGTATTATGATATTTGGTATTATAAATTTATATATTTTTTTGTAGCAATTAGTATTGTGCTAGGTCGGCTTAATCATTAGATCGAAGTACTATTTTTACAAATTTATATTCTTTTATTGGAAAAAATAAACATAAATTGAATGTGACATCTATAGTAATATAAAGAGGTTGTTGGAAAAATACAAAAATAGTAACTTTGACTTTAAAAATAATGTGTTGACTTACTATTAGTAGAAATTTTGAAAAAAGCACATGTGAATCTTTAGAAATCAAATTTAAGGGAGATATCTCAAAAAATGTGGAGATTCTTAAGGTAACAAATTTGGAGATTATTAAGGTAACAAATTTGGATATACTTATGCCAAAATTTAATTCATTTCATAAATACGAATCTCATTTTTATTGGTAACAAATTTGGAGATTCTTGTGCCAAAAAATTGAAATTTTGAATTGAGATATCCCAACAATTACGAATTTTTTTCCATTCAAATTAATGTTTTAAATCAAACAAAAAATTGTTCCGAGAATAATGGATGTTGTATTAAATATTGATAAACTGCAATCCTCTATAAATTATTTATATTTGTGCATTTTGTGTGTAAATATATTATTTTTTTTCTAAATAATACTAAATTACCTTATTTTAGGACCTTAATCCTAACTTCTTTTCTATGTTTTGGTGGTTTATATTCTTTAATTGAAATAATATTTGACTTATTTGATTAAAACAACTTATTTTCTTTAGGAAATAAATTTAAGTGAGATATCCCAAAAAAATTTAAGATTCTTAAGGTAACAAATTTGGAGATTCTTATGCCAAAATTTAATTCATTTCATAAATACGAATCTCATTTTTATAGGTAACAGATTTGGAGATTTTTATGGCAAAAATTGAAATTTTGAATTGAGATATCCCAACAATTATGAATTTTTTTTTTCCATTCAAATTAATGTTGCAAATCAAACAACAAATTGTTCCGAGAATAATGGATATTATACTAAATATTGATAAACTCCAATCCTCCATAAATTATTTATATTTATGAATTTTGTGTGTAAATATATTGATTTGGTTTTCTTAGATAATAATAACTTACATTATTTTATGACCTAAATCCTAACATCTTCTCTATTTTTTGGTGGTTTATATTCTTTAATTGAAATAATATATGAATTATTTGATTGAAACAACTTATTTTCTTTAGAAATCAAATTTAATGAGATATCCCATAAAAATTGGAGATTCTTAAGGTAACAAATTTGGAGATTCTTATGCCAAACTTTATATCATTTCATCAATACGAATCCCATTTTTATTGGTAACAAATTTGGAGATTCTTATGCCAAAAATTGAGATTTGAATCAAGATATTCCCACAATTACGGATTTTTTTTTCATTCAAATTAATGTTGCAAATCAAACAAAAAGTTGCTCCGAGAATAATAGATGTTATACTAAGTATTGATAAACTTCAATCCTCCATAAATTATTTATATTTCTGAATTTTGTGTGTAAATATATTGATTTGTTTTTCTTATTTGATTGAAACAACATATTTTTAGCCATATAATCATATAATATAAAAAATTCACGACTTAAATATATATCCATGAATATATAAAAACGCAAAACATTTAGCTGTGAATAGTATGTAAAATCCCGCCTAAAATTTTTGTTTTTACTGATAATGAATTTATTAAAAAACAGGGTAAATTCCCACCTAAAGCACAAATTGATTTATATATATATATATATATATATATATATATATATATATATATAAGATTTGAAAATCCGGGAAAATCTCTATCTATGGATATTTTTTTGTCCATATCTATTAAACTACAAAATCTTTTTAAAGTTTGGAAAGAATCTCATATTATGTGAATTCCTGGTAAATATTTTTTTCTCCATATTTATCTAACTACAATATCTTTTTAAAGTTTAGAAAGAATCCATCTTTTTAAAGTTTGCACTCAATCGATCCCTTATATAAACCCCTCCCCACCCAGTTACAAAATCCTAAGTTTGAGACAAAAAAAAAAAATCAGTTAGTCACAAATAAAAAAAAAAATCACAAAAAACTCCTAAATAAAAAATTCAAATCAACCTATCGAATTTTAGGGTTTACTTTGACATAACAATCAGCAGCTAGCCCCGCCGCTGAATAGTGATGGAGCTCTTCGTCGACGTTGTCACGAAGACCGACAAGAACTTTTGCGCCCTATGCACCAACGAGAAGGACGTCGGCAAATATGGCAATCCCCTCCACCACAAAGGGTCATCCTTCCATCGTGTAATCCCCAATTTCGTTTGTCAGAGCAGTGACTTCACTGCGGGTAACGACGGCAAGTCGATCTATGACGCCAAGTTTACCGACGAGAACATCATGAGAAAGCACACCGGGACCTGTCGATGGCGAAGGCTGTTCCGGGGACAAATGACATGTACTTTTTCATCTGCACGACAAGGACGAAGTGGCTTGACAACAAGCACGTGGTGTTCGGGCAGGTGGTGGAGGAGTACGACATATTGAAGGCGGTGGAGAATGTCGGGTCAGGGAGCTACCGGACCTCAAGACGGGTGGTGATCGTCGACTGCAACCAACTCCAGATCTGATGGTTGTGTGTCGTTTAATTTGAAGTTTGTTGGAGACTATTTTCATAACTACCTAATAATTGTCTTCTGATTTGTTAAATTTGAAATTAAAAAATAGTTTGTTGGATACTTTTTTTCATAACTACCTAATAATTTGTCTTTTGATTTGTTTAAATTTGAAATTAAAAAATGAAGTTCATGTCACGTTCGTAAGACTCTGGAAATCATATAAGAATTTTATATTATATGATCGATTGGTTCCTAAAAACTTGGCGCATATATACAATCATTTTTGAAAACTTAAAATTTTAAGATTACTTATAAATATTTCTTCAAATGGTCATATTTATCTTTTTAAATTTATTAAAGTTTTGAAATTACAATTAAATATTTTTTCAAATGGTCATAGTTATCCCAACACATTTTATCACACTAAAAATAATATATTACGATTTATCACACTACAAATAATATATTATAATTTAATTTTTTCACACAAATGTTTGAAAATTTTAATTTGTTGACAAGAAGGTTTTCCATAAAATAAAACATAAAATATTGTGTATAGGGAATTGTTCAACAATATATGATTTTTCATACTCTGTATCTAATTTATAATAAAATGTTTAAACTTTAGTAATTATATTTAAAAATAAAGTTTTAAATAAGTTTTGAGGAACAAGCCTCACCGTGCATCGCACGGGTTGCTCACTAGT